AATTTTATATGTAATTCATTTTCTAATTCTTTACGGATTGAGAGATATAAGGAACACAACAATATGAATGTAAAAATAAGTTGGTTATCCATCTTAAACTGGATATCCATCCAAATAACATACAAATTTCCTTCATTTCTGCCCATCAAAATTTTATCATTTTTAAGTTTGAAAAAAATATTCGATGTGGATCTTGTTGGATAGATCTCGATGAGTACTATGAATTTCATTTATAAATTGTTCTCTAATTATTCACGGATTGAGAGATATGCTCATTTGAAAATTAGAAACATTTTATGAGGAGAGAGAAAAAAATATAGGGACTAAACTTACAAAATATAGAAAGTTATTTAGAAAAAGTACAACAAGAACTAATAATGCAAAAAATAGAAGGAGGACCATGGTGGTACCGGGTGCACTCAAGATGGTCTCGAGTTTAATATTGCGGCAAATATTTTGGCATCAGTTGGCCAAATTAAGCACGAGACAACCAACCGTATAATTAGTTCTCGGATTGTGATACAATGGATGACAAACATTTATGTCACACAAAATAACAGTGTAAATTCTAAATGTATGTACATGTTCGTAATTTACAATCGATCATCTGTGCCCAATTTATTTAGGTATGAACATCATTCATACGAGAATATGTTACAGAAAGGTTTTGAGGATGCATCAAGTACACACACACATGCGCGCGCACACACACACACAGATATATATATATATATATATATATATATATATATGAAACACGGTTTGAGAGTGATTATGATCGTAAAATTTGGTTGATTTTACATGCATTAAGACAGTTTGAGAGTAGGTAAACTCTCAAATCTCATTAAGCTTTCTTCCAAAGAGAAGTGATTGGGAATGGCCATCGTATAGGAAATAGAATATATCCAGAACAACTTTTTTGTACTTTTAATAAGATATTATTAATAAAGAAACTTATTTGAATGGGTATTCATTTCATTCCAGAGCAAACGTCGCATGTTTGTATATTCATGGAGGATTTACCAGGGGCGGCTGTGGTCGCCGCGAACATCAATACTCCAAGCGCGGCAGCGATGAAAAGTATTGAAAACCGGAGACAAGTTTTGGCGAATCTAGGGTATATTTGGCGGGCGTAAATAGACACGACGGCTCCGGTGAATGCGAAGTTTATAGCCAAGACAAATGAATGAAATAAAGATGGGTTATCCTTGAAGATGATTCTTGGAACTAGAATGATATTATTGTTGTCTGGTGATGAAGAAGTATCCCAACGTATCTGATCATATTGAAGAAAGAAAAGAGCAAAGACTGATAGAAATGTAATTGAAGAGATCATCTCATCCAGATGAAGTGGAGAGAAAAAAGAAAAGCAAGAAACATCATCCTTTTCTATTTGAGCCATCATCAGAAAATTTTAGCTCTTGGTTTTTCGACTATTTGTGTTTCATTCGGTCCTCTCCTTTCCCGCGCATTTATAGCATATAAATCCATGAGGAAATTAAGTTTAACAGGGGTTTTCCTGATTGAAATCATCAACACGCTGAATTCTCAAATCTCAACTAGTGTTACATATATAATTCCAAAGTCTTCGTCAACCATAGTTTTTCTTACAATCTTTCTAACGTATTCAACACTGTGTCAAATGATATTCTATTTCCCCAGCGGCAAGTCAATGTTTAACTCTTATTGCAGAATTGTAGCTACAACTGCATTTCTGGATTTTTAAATGGACTAATCCCAATATAAGACGTTTGTGACAATTGGGAAGAAACTGTTAATGAATTTCCATTGTTCCAATTAGTCATTGTATATGGATGACTGAGCCTTCAGTTCTTGCAGAAATGACCATGTCCATGTATAAAGTGTAATTTAATTAAACAATAAGCCAACTCAGGCAACTTGGCCGAGAAATCAAATAAATAGTACTACTAGTTACGATTTCAAACCAATCAGCTTCAAGAAAAGGAATGCGGATAGCGCAACTTGTTAAAAATAGGGTGGAAAAGAATAAAAATGAAATGGATGACTTACATGATTCTATCTTACAAGAAACCATGTTTAGCACCAACCACCAAAACACACAGCTGACTTTATCAGAAAGAAATCTGGTAAACTGCTCTTAACCCGTCATTGTGTCTCAATTTTCTCACTTCAGATTGTTGAAAGGTGTTAAAAATTTTAACAAAGCAATGTTTATTCATTTGTCTCTCATTAGAAATTGTTTCTCATATTGAATTATTGATCCATCGACATGCCATTCACGCCTAATAGCCAATTGACGGAGCGGATTTTCAGTCGGCGGATTTTATGGATGGAATTTGACTGGCCCCGCAATGCAACTAAGGATTTTGGCGTACCCTACAATAAAACCGAGGATTTTGCCGATCCTATTAAGTTTGACCGAACCAATCGGCATGGACCCATGGTTTGTGTAGTTTTACCGTCGCAATCAGATGGTGTGTGTGTGTGCAATGGTGTAACCCAATCCTTCACCCATTCAAAGTGCAAGGAGTTTAAGAGGGAGTGTTGAAATGTGTTCAAAGCGTTAACAAAGAATGTGTATTAATTTGTTTCGTATTGAAAATTGAAAACTATATTGAACAACATATAAGTTCCATGATTTTCTTCCCTAATTGCTAAATGATTTTTAACTAAATTAAACCACAAGTGGGTTATCATTAGATTTGAAGATCATATCCAAGTAATGCTTAAAGACTGCAGCCTTCCCTGAAAGAAAGCAGAATAATCTAACGCTTAGGGTATGAATGAACTCGTATTACGAAAGATCTTTCCTCCTACAGCCTCCTAATTACAAGTTTTCGTTCAAATTGAACATTAATAGTAAAGTGGAAGATGATCCTTTAGTTTTCTGTGTCTTCCATTTCTTATGCTTATAGGGATGTTATATGGGCTAAAGTCAGAAATTTTTGTCGCGAATACACATACCCTTTGCAGGAAGGAACATTACGGAATACGCAATCCTCTAGCTATATCCGATTCAAAGTACACATCTAGTAGGAAAATCACGTTTTCTGAATTGTATCTTGACCTTCAGATCAGAGTCCCATATTTGTATGTTGATTAACTAATGTATCAATCACTCTCCTCTCCTAAAATAATTATCTAATTTGGATTTTACTTTTAGTAAAAATTGTACTAAAAGTAAAATTTCAAATAGAACAATCATCTTAGGATATAAGGAATCGTAATTTTAAAATTCTATTTTGTGTTTGCTCAGTGGGATGTTAAAAATGCTTGTCTTGGAGTCTTAAATTCTTAATATTATTTGTTACGAGACCAACTTATTTATTATGACTCCCTTCTTCTTTCCCTAAAACCTAAACCTAGTGTACGTATTTCAATATCTTGTTTAATTTACACCCATGAAATCAATGAGTACATCATATTCATGCTGATACTATATAAGTGGGTCAGTTTTAATTTTTTTTTTTTGGCCAAATTCGTGTTGTGCCTTTATGTCGTGCCAGATATTTTATTTAAGATTGGATACTGAATTTTGATGGAGTGGTATCCGTTCATCGCCAATGGTGTTTGGTTTTGGGAACTATGTTGGAAACTCGGGAGATAATGGTAGCCATGAACTTTAAAAGCCTCTATCGGACTCCTGCTATTAAGAATGATTAGCAACATTTGCTAACTCTTAGACTGTCGAATTTTATCAGGTTGGACGGTAGATTTTTAGTAAACTTAAGGAAAATTTTATCTTTTTCTGAAAACCAAAAGGAAGAAAATGAAAGGGGAAAATACAGTAGGGTTGTGGTCCAATTCAGATTTTCAATTTGACAATGAGAAAACTCGTATCCAATTATATCATGAGACTTGGATGAACTCGAAAATACTTACTTTATGTACTACTCAGCATACCTTTGATGCAATTGACTTTGCCCAGTTCCTTGAGACCGTGTAGATATAATTTATTAACTTGTTCAGGAAACTTTCATCGAGGAACAACAAACATATAATATTTCATACGTTAATTGTTAATTGGCGCAGCTAAATCTATGTTATAACTACTGGTGCAAAAAATGGGAAAATCGAATCTATGTTAATTGGTCCCCTTTACACAAGTAGTAACAAATTTAGTTTTCAAACTAAGTCTACACTATTTTGCTTGCAAGTAGTTGTACTTTTAAACACATTATCACCTTTTCCTCCACTAATTATTGGAGTAAACAAATGACTTCGGAAGGAAGGTACTCGTTGGTTTTACCATTTTTTTGGTTCAAATCGTTGTAAGAATCTGCCTATAATTAATCTGCCATTTCCTCTGATTTTCATCCTTTTTAACTGAACATGTATCTAAACTAATAGTTAGTCAAAAAAAAAAAAAACATGGTTTTGATGGACTAGCTAGCTAGGGAACCGAAACAGATATAACTTCGACTACATATTGCCAAATAATGGAATTGATATATACACTAAACTACATGTGTGTTTTTTTCTTCTCATCGTTTTATTCCAAACCCTTCCATTCGTTAATTTCGGTTTTGGGTCTGATAACAAAACAATTTAGGTACCAAAACGTCCTATTCAAGGGAGCACATCCAAGCCGATAGTGGTTAAAAATGAAGAAAAAGAGTTGGAAAATTATTAAAAAACGCTACACACGTTTTTCCTTTTTTTTTTTTTTTAAAAAAAAAAGAAATTGAAAGAACGAAGAAAAAAAATGAAAAAGAGACGCCATATTTTGTTATCCCCAGAATAAACACTTGATCCTACTAATTGAAAAGACTTTCAAATTGAAATTGACAAAATTGAAGTCAAGGTCATACAAAAGTATTTTTACTTGACGAGGAAGATTCACAGTACTAACCAAAACCGAGCTCAGTCGCCCGCTTAAGCCAATTTCGGCCTAGGAGGCTGAAATTGCCAAAATAACGCTTTTCGGATAAAGGATCACACGGACTACACACGCCAAAATGATCATCATATTCCGTTTATATATTAATGGAATCAAAGATCAACAATCAGCACAGGCAAGTTGATTAAACAGGAATGGCGATGTTGAAGAACATTCTTCATGTTCCCAACGGTATGTGGTCGATCATCCTGACTTGGTACAAAGGAATATCTGATGATAACAATGTTGAGGATTCTGAATCCTCAATTCAGGAGGAAATGGATATTGAATCCGGTCTTCCCTCCGTGTCAGCAACGCCAAATCATCGTCAGGTCCGCGACCGCCGTCCTATTATCAGCGCATCACGATCACCGCATCAATCTTCGCCTGGCTCAAATATAAATGGTATTCAAAAGGCTACACCGCAAGGAAAACTGGATGTGATGGCTCAAAATTTCAAATCATCGAAAATTCGGAAGGTAATGATTCCAGTCCAATTTGCACTGATAGGAATCGTGTTCAACCCTTTGGCCCCAATTTCTTCAATCCTGAGGACCCTGCTAATTTTTGCTCTCCCGTTAGGCTTCACGGCTACTATGATTGGATTAATCATGCCTGACACTTTATGCAGAGCTATAGTTGAACAGATTGGAGTTGTTTCGATATTTTTCGCATTCTATGGATTGCAGAGCCAGTTTTTTCCAGGTTACTGGAAATTCATCTCTGGGGGTTGTTTTGTGGTGTCTGTCACAGGCTTTTATTTTTACTTATCAACCCCCTGGAATTAGAACGAGATATATATATTATGAGTTATGATACATTTCGCGAAAAATTTAGGTGAATTTTTCACTTTATGTATCACAACCCATAATTTGTTTGTTCGGTAGCATATGGGAATACTATATTTGTTTTAAGAATAATGATGTACTGAAAGATCCTTGCCACTAAACACGAATTGTACTTGAGAATGTGATTGCAGATTTCGCAAATGGGGTTCCAGCTCCAGGGTTTTGGGGTCTTCATCAACTTTCATGGCTGTAAAAGGAAATTTCTTGTCTGTGTTTATTCTCTCTGTTTCAAAATGATTTTCTAATTTGGATTTTCAGTTTTAGTACAATTTGAACTAAAAATGAAAATCTAATCTTGACAATTATTTGGAAGCAAAGAGAATATATCAAGTTCTTGTAATACGTACAGTTTGCTCTTGTCTACGTCTAATTATGGGCATGGGACTATATAGACTTGATTGATAGACAAATTTTGTAAAATATATATAGTCCCCGGGAGAAATTAGGGCTTAGGCCTTTCCTTCACTAATGTAACCTATATTTGTCGTGATGTTATTAAAAAACGTTGTGTTTTATGTGTTTCCTTCAAAGAATTTATTTGAAAGTGAATTCGTAGTGTCAATTACAATGGTCGGGACTCTTCAATCCTTAATTATATAAATTAAGTTCAAATTCTGTTATGAGCATATCAGTTTTCTTATTAATTGATATGCGAATAATCACTGCTGTTGGCTGACAACTGCAAACATATAATTTTTTTTTTAAACAAAGTTGAATCATCGTGATGCTACACATACTCTCTTCCCTCTCCATCGGAAAAATGATCGGGCCTCTGTAATTTACTCGCGCTCTATCAAATATAAGGCAAGAGCTCTGGAATCGATCAACAGAACAGCCGTGAGTTTTGGGGGGTGGGGTTCGAGAATAAGAAGAAACTGAAAATTAGGAAGAAAATTGAGTCATCATTCTTTCAATGCTACTACCTTTTTAAAACCTAAATTTGGCTAAAGGGCAGTAGAACAAGTCAAATTTATAAAAAGGGTATGACCATAAAATATTTTTTATAAAGTACGGGAATTTATTTATCAAAAATCACAAAATCAATATAATTTTATAACGACATAATTACCCTTATTTTTTCTTATTACGCTTTTAAAAGAAACTTTTTAAGTGTTTTTTAAACAAAAAATATTATCCTTAAAAATAACAAAAAAATATTTTCAAGAGACTTATGGCCCTTCATAAACCTTGAATCTTGATAAGATCTTTCTTAAAAAGGCTGTTTTTTGTCCCCTTGGTATTTCTGAATTCATCATATTGAACCAAATATAATGGTTCTAGTTTATGTAATTTCTGAATTCTTCACAAGGGATTGATTGCTAAGCAATCATACCTCTGGGTTTGAGTACTTTGTTAGAAATGAGAATTAAATATGCCATGTACAAGCCAAATCTGTCCCTATTATAGAGTCAATTAAGCATGAACACGATGGCTTCACCCGTGATGGTTTCTTAGTTAACTTCATACTTAGTTTGGGTATTTTGAATTTGTTTATGATTTCTGCATTTCTAGCTCTAGTTATTCACGTGAATGGAATACAATTCAGGTACATGTTCCGCATCATCTTCAGTGATCTGCGACAGTATTGTATACAACTTGTAGAACCTTTATAGATAGCTCTGTTGTATCCGAAATGGATAAAACAAAGCCTTACTTTGATATGTTGTGCACTTCTGTGATAATGAAGATTAGTGTTGATTATGCCAATGATTCTATTTTCGTTATAAGCTATTATAATTTTAGGACTACATCCCTTTTATTTTACTTGACAAGGAGAAGGGAAGAATTTTGTAGTACTTACATGATTTAGACATAGTATAAGCTAGGTAGGTGTCGGCCTTGTATCAAAACTTAGTGTTCTGATGATAATGTTTGAATGACCTCGTTACTGCAAGTAAAACTTGTGAAAATTTGTGGAGAACTTACTACAGCTTCTGTGAGAGCAATGGTGGATTTGCCCAGTTCTTTGTCTCGTTGCAACATAACTTTTTCTTCGGAGCCTTAAGGATTTTCTCAAAGCTAAGTTTCATGTCCAGACACGGATATTGACATCTCCTTGGCAATAGGAGCAACCGCATTATCGTTAATTCAAACGAATTAATCAAAAACAGATGGAACTTGGACGTCGATGTGAACCATATATCTATTCTGGGAAAACTTTAAACCTCTGCGAACTCGCGCGCGCTTCAAAAGCTTGAAGGACAAACTCGAGCATGAAAAGGAAGAATAATCAGAGAAAAATTATTTGGCTTGTTTGGTTTGACATGAAAACAATTGGGGTAATTATGTCATTAAATTTTTTTTTTAATTTTATAACATTTGACAAATAAACTACCGCCCCTCATAAAAAATAATTTATGGTCATACCCCTTTTATTAATTTTACTTGCTCTACTGCGCTTTAACAAAATTTTCCATTTTTATTTTTGTTTTATTTTTCTGAATATGCCAATTGGTATTGGTTTAATTTGCTATTGTACGAAGTACCTAACACTGGTATTCACATCGGATCGTCAGCATAACTAATCAACCAAAAATGCAACTCGCTAATTAATTAATTAATTAACTAAATTTTACAAACAGTATTCCACGTTTATTTGATAAATCCTTTCTGGAATTAGTCTTCTGCATATGGCAATATCCCCATTGTTTGAGTCTTGCACTTTAAAAAACATAAATTATGGGTATAAGCATAAATTATGCATTTTTGGTTTTTAAATAAACCATCTTCTTACTCATGGGTACTTTGTGAATTTGATTTAGCTTTTCACGATGCACCCCCCAAAAAAATTTATATAATCAAAAAGTTCTTCATCAATCCAGATTTCAGCTGGATTTGGTAAATGCTAATACTAAAGAGAAGAACTGGCAAGTTAATTACACGTTACTCCATTCTTAAATCAATTGATCCATGGCATGCTACTAAAGCCGTCCCACGCACATCAGCTAAATTAGTCAAAATTTCTGAGTGTCAATGTAGTAGTTATCTGTGTAGTACTTACCTTAGTTTGGAAATTACTATGAATGTGATATGGTTGTATTGTTGTAGTAGGTTATCTATTATGCTTATCTTTCACTGTATTCTTCAATTTAGGTACTCTACAGCACAATGGAATACAATCATCAGATCATATTTCACTATTTGAGTCTCAACATAGTCAAACTTTGTGGAGATCTAGAAAACATTGAAAGAATAAACCTACAGGATAAAAAAATATATGCCTACCCGGATAAAAAATTGACGATCGTGTATTTTTTCTCAATCATTTCTTAATCGTGAATTATCAATTTCTCATTAATCTCTTACAGTTTTTACATTTGAAGTTCCATTTCGGATTGAAGTTCCTTCTATTTAAAAAATTCTTGTTATTTGTAAGAATTGATTTTATTTTAGTTTTGATTGGAGCCTGATATTATTCTAAAAGTATATCCCAGAGTGTGATCGTGTATTTGTTTTTTTTTTTTTTTGTTACATTTATTGTGCTAGGAAAAAAAATTATATTAAAAACAATCTTCCTAACTGGACGCTTATTTTGAGACGGAAAGAGTATTATATTATATATTTTCTCTCCATTTTCTAAGCTATTACCGTGAGCCTAAAAAGTAATGCTCATGCCGTTAATGTTAATAGCTCTCTTTATTAGATTATTTTAGCTCAATAAAATGAACTATAAAAATGACATGAAATAAGAAATACCAACCGTCTGTAGAGATAAACTCTTAGCAGAAGTAGCAAAAAAGACCGACTAATTTACATTTTCTCGATGTTGCACTGAAATGATTACGAAACAGCATAAGTATGGTAAGTATACATAAGCTTTCCTGTAGCCAATAGAAATCACATAGTTTCTTTTTTCTATATGTAATCTTTTGTAGTTTCAAGTTCATGAAAGAGATGGGAGGATGCCTCCCAGACGTACTTAGTAATTGTGTTGGTCAAATTCATTTTAAACCTACCAAACAACATGATCAATCAAATTAATAAGAAAACCCGGATACTCATAACTTGTATAACTCGTTTCCTTTAATAAAATTTTGTAAAAAATGAAAAGGGGAGGCAATACCTTGCCATGGCTGATGGAGGATTTTCCACCTTCAAATATGAGCTCGATGCTAAATCAAAGTAAACGGGAACGAAATGAATAATTCAGTAAAATTAAAGCAGAATTCTTAAAATTTAAAATTTTAACATTCACGTATGAAGACCCAGAATTCATAAAATTGCATGATGAGAAATAAAGGAAGAAATTGTTTAATTCAATCCAATACGAATTAAACTCAAGAAGATTGAAGGAACTATTATCAACGATGGAAACATCAACAAATTTGATTCATCTTTTAACTTTGCCCCATGAACATCTGGGTTTCTACTAGAAGGAAGGAAAGGAAAAGAAATTTACAGATATTACGTGCCCATGAATGATAAAACTGCTTGTATATATCTCAAAACCCAAAAAAAAGGAAAATGGGGAAAAATGAAGAATTTATCCGTATACTTGAACAAAAGTCCGATTCCCTAAGAAATTGGGTGAAAATATTTATTTCAGATGCGATCCTGACAGTCCAAAAGCTTCCACCCATTCCGACGGTCTCTATCAATTTGACGGACGTCAAGACATCAGAAACTCATTTAGGGGCGAAGTTCTAAATTCACAATTAAATTTTAGTTTTCTATCCTATTCACATATCTTTGCTCTTTCCTTTCTGCGTCAGCCTGAGAATATATCACAAATCAATTTTGATTGTTTTGAGGAAATTTGTACATGTTTTAGCAATTTCCTGCTGATGTTTTAGCGTGGTTAGAGATTATTGTTTCCTTGTTGCAATAAAATTTGACAAGTTCCTAATCTCATCGTCAATGCGGCCAATGGGCTTGAGATTTACACCAACCGAAGTCGAACATGACAGTGTCTTGACTGGTGCCCTTGAATTAGTCTGTCATTATAAGCTGCAGGGTGATGTGAAGTCTCTAGGGGTCTTATAGGGTTTACTTATTCGGGATTTAAGCAATCCCGGGAAATTTTTATTACCACTGATAAGATGCTGCTGCTCACGCAGATTGCTGGTTCGAGCTGATCCATTGTGGACCGTGAAGAAGACAGAGTTTCAATTACGAACAGAGTCGGAGCATGCGTGAAAAGCAACCGAGAACAGTAATACTGACAATTAGCTAGATGGAGACGCGATTTGGGGAGAGAACGATGCCGACGTCAATGAAGTTTTCGTAATACTCCAATATAGGGACCGGCCTGCAAAGTTTGGGGGATGCATTAGAAATGTATGCTTTCAAAGTGTATGATGAATGAGTCCTAATTGCTGCTCAGGAGATATTCTAAAGCATTTTTCTCGCTTTTTAGTCTGACGATGAGAGAGGGATGTGTGAAAGAACTATTTATTGTACAAACATCGACAAGAAGGTATGCTAGGACTCGATACAGTATAGGTGCTTTCAACTAACTTCAAATGTAGATAATGGACATAATATTCTTGGTTGTAATGCAGGTTACTCATGAAGAGGTGAAGCTCTTTTTTGAATCCATTTGTGAAAA